ATCCAGAGGCGTGGCGACCCATTCGGGCGCCCGGGGCGAAATATCAACTTTGCGCCCCCTCCGTCCTCATGTGTATAGTTATTAAAACTGGCCCGGCAACCCCCCCCCCCCCCCACTCCAAACCTAGTTGTGAAAGATCGGAGGCCCATTTTACCAGTCACTTTACCTTAATGGTTTTTATTTTAATGTCAGACATTTGATGTAGGAAACAATTCAATAAGCCGGTAAAACCTGTCTATTTTCCACAACTTCGACTGAGTATAATTTAGTAATGCAGCACAAAATTAGCTTTCTATTTATTTTTTACTCCTACATTATCATCCTCTTTTCCTTTTTGTGCCAAAGACACATATTGTTGACACTGTTGCGGGTCTTACGTAATTTTCTGCAGTCTCCCATATAGTCCTGCCTTTGTCTCCCTGGCCTTACCTGCTTTCTTTTTCCGAATGGATACTTGCCTGAATGGACACTTGCCCTTATGCGACAAATGCCCGAATGCCCAATTTCCCGGGTAATTGTCCATTCGGGCATTAATGTTAGGGTTAAGTTTAGGGCTAGGTATAGGAGTAGTATATTAGGTCCCTTTTGGACCGTTTTTTTGGCGGAGGGTGACAGGGGAGGGTGAGGGTGAGGGTGAGGAGCAAAGGTTATAGTAAAATACTACGCCAACGGGCGGAGCAGGTGGTGGTGGTGGGTGAGCCGGAGGGACAATGAGATATAGTAAAATACTACGCCAACTGGTGGTGGCGGAGCAGGTGGCGTAAGGGCAGTGGGAGTTGGTCAGGAGGTCAGGTGAGGGGGTGACCTTGTGACGTAATCACCATCGGTGACCTAGTTACGTAATCACCATCAGTGACCTAGTTACATAATGTCCATTATTTTTTTTTAAATTTTAATTTAATTGTGTCGCTTGGTAATGTTTGGTTACGGTTTCGTAAAGTGTCTTGTTAAATTGTCAAGTCGTGTAAATATTTATCACATGTTGTACAGGGATGTCTTTGTCGACCGAGTGCCGTCTCTTGATGGCGTATGAAATGTTGATTTCGGTTGAACTCACGGTCACATAGCTCGCATATGAAACGGGTCATGGCTGGGTGGCTGGTTGGATGGGTGGCTTGCATCTTATTCTGTTGACGAAGTGTCTAGTGGTTGAATCGGTTGGATGACTGGATAGGTCGCTGGCTGTAGAATAAAAATAAAATAAATAAAAATTAAAGTAAATACATAAAATAAAAAACATTTGACAACTTTACAAAGTTTAGTGAGTTTACTTTAAGTAAAACTAAATTAAAAATTAAACTTATCTCAGTGTTGGTTTGAACGGCTAAGTCCGATCTGTATTGGTGTCGATGGATGTGGTTGGATCCTTTGGTTCAGTGGATGGATCGGGGATGGGAGGGTAGTTCAATAGGGTCAGTGGGTGGATCGGCTGTCTCGTTGGGTCAGATGTACACTAAAAAGGTAAAGCGAATACAGTTGACTACTTATTTAGAAAAGCTTTATTTAAAGCGTATATAAATTAGTGGGGTTAGCTCCCTTAAAACAAAAAGTAATATTAACCTTACCTTTAATTGAATAAACACTAACAAACGATGCGGTCCTTGGTTATTTAGGTAGATGTGTTGCTTGAGTCCTAAGCCGATGTGGTTTTAGTCTTCGCGGGTCAACGGCGGTCTCAGGCTGGTAAAATGGAGATAATGCTTGGTTTGGAGTCCGAAGTCGAAGTGGTTTAGACTAAAATTCTCAAGTTCATTTATACGGTTGGTCGGCCTAAGTGTGGCGCCAGCCTGTCTCGTGCTGGCCAGGTCATAAAAAACCACGACGCTGAACCCCGGGTGACAATCGGTACATTCCCGTAAATCAGCATACCGGCGTCCCAATACACTCAGTGAACCGCCATAAATCAACCGCGGCTGTCAAGCCGACCGAGAAAAGCCATTCATCACTGCGCGGTACCTGTCAAAGACTCAACGGCGGAAAAAACTTCTTTGGTGTTTGCGTAAATGACTAGCAGATGTCATTAATGGTTGTTGGAAGTCGACACAAAGAACTTTCTATTTTTGTACACGTTAGCGTTACTCGATTATTTTAAAATTAAAAATTAAAAAACAACAATTAAATAAACAACAAATAAACAACAAATTAAAATCAAACCAATATAAATTTAATTAAAAGGAAAAAATAAAATTTAAGTAAAACAAACAAATATAAACAAATTAATTAAATTAAAATCAAACTAATTAAAAAATAATTAAAAACAAACAAATAATCAAATTACGTAACAAGTTAATAAAATTTACTAAATTAAAAACAAAATAAATTAAAATTCAAACTAATTAAAAAATTAACAAACAAAGTAATTAAATTAAAATTAAAAATTAAAATCAAATTAATTAAAATCAAACAAATAATCAAATTACGTAACTAGTTAATAAAAGATTACAAAATTGAAAACAAAGTAATTAAATTAAAATTAAAAATTAAAATCAAATTAATTAAAATCAAACAAATAATCAAATTACGTAACTAGTTAATAAAAATTAATTAAAAACAAAATAAATAAAAATTCAAACTAATTAAAAACTAATCAAAAAATAATTAAAAACAAACTAATTAAAAACAACAAACAAATTAATTAAAACAAATTAAAATAAAAAATAAAAAAAGAAACAATGGACATTATGTAACTAGGTCACTGATAGTGATTACGTATCTTGGATATTTATTACTTGGCCATAATAAAGCAAACTTTAATTGACGGTAATATCCGAAATCAAGACTGCGATACTTTGAATGAAGTAATTGAAACCAGTCAATTATCTAAGAATATTCTATATTAAATATCTTATGACTGAGGAAAAGTAGTTTTTGTTTATGTATCCTTTTAGGCCGTAGGACAGGAAGTGTTTGTTCCAGACTTTTTTCTCTACGGGACGGACACTGTTAATAGTATGTTTTCTATATAATTTCCATTTCGCTCTTCCCCCCCCCCCCCAAGATGTCTAGAAGAAACACTGAGGACAGGTGAAATCATCTGTACCCTCAAGTACAGAAAATGATAGTGTGGTTGGTTCCACGCTCACTCGACTTTTCTTCCTCCAACTACTATCAGAGTTTCTTTCAGGCATCTCTTCGGGGGGGGGGGGGGGGGCGACGACGACGACACTGTACACAAGGAATAAAGTCTACCGATCCCTGAACGAAATGGAATTTATATAGAAAACATTTAGCAGTGTCCACCCGTCCACCCGTCCACCCCCCCCCCCCCCCGCATTAAAAGTCTGGAAGAAACACTACTATGGAAATAAATCGTCACGAGGCTGTCGGAAAAAGCGGTTGTTCACTCATTCAAGAGCAAAAAGGAACAATTAAATTTTGAGAGTAAAAATAAAAACACAGCTGACTGGTTGTGTTGGTCCATAAATATGTTATGAACCTGTTGAAAAGGGGGGGGGGAGGTGAATTAGAAAATTTAAAGTAAACTGGGTTAAACATTTTGTATTCTTTTATGTTTGTTGAGTATCAAAAAAACTATTTATTATCGATCAAATAAGTTTTAAAAGCGAATATTTAAGTTAGCCAAACATTGATGAATTATTTTCAACAAAATGCGCGCTAAACCAACATAAGTTTTTTTAAATCGATCACTTAAAACAAAATATGAAATAGCCATTTAGAGAGGGCTCTAAAAACAAAATGTCTACAAATGAAATCAATAAAGAAATACAAATTAACAAAGGTATGCTTTGGACTTATTTTTTATAATGCTTTGAACTTGTTTTTCAAAACTTGAAAGACGAGATGCTAATGAGACAAACATTACCTATCCTGGTAATTAAAAATTAATAAAAGTGATTATGACGTCACACTCCTGGGGGAGAGGAAGAGGGTGCGGCGGTTCAGAGAGAATTAATGTAATGTCGTATTACTTTTAATGACTTTTGTGTAGGCCAATATTGAATAATATACCTAACGATAACCTAGGTCAGTTAATATTGTAGAAAGCATTAAATGTTAAAAAAATTAATATCACAGTTTGTGTGTGTTTGTATGGGGGGGGGGGGGGGGGGTGAAAATGCAAGCGGGAGTGTGACGCCATTTTGAAGAAGGGGGGGGGGTCTATATTTTTTCGCGTTGTGTGACGATGGAGGATATGGTGCGGGTACATTCCTTTAAAAAGCGTGACGGCCGTAATGGAACCCCTCCCTCCACCCCCACACACACCTCATAGACAATTTGTCAGAAAACTAACTTGCGACAATTGACTGTGATTTGGACCTAATTTACTAAAAGGAGTGAGATGCCAAAAAATAAAGAAAAAAAGTTCTTTTTATTGCATTTCAGTTCTTTAAGCGTAGAGAGAAGAAGTTTGTATGATGCGATTTTTTTCGGAAGCAGATGGGTGAATATTGTTTGCCATTATAAGTAAATAATCCCAAATGGCGACAACAAAAATTCACAAATGGGATGTTTAAACTCTAGATTAGATAATAAACTAATTAACTTCTAGCCTACAGCAAAAATAGTGGTAAATATCAAAGCTATTACTAAATGATAACAAAGCATAAAAACATCAGAAAACAACAAATACCATTCACTGTGTTTGTACATGTATTATGTACCTTCAAAACAGCACAAATGATGGCGCATTGAAAATGTTGTCTACATCACAATTTATAAAATAATATTAAAATAAAAAATGAGCCCATATATTATTTTGTAAAACATAAAAATATCATTAAAACAAAATTTGGCTTAAAATGTTATCAAAAATTAAATTTGGCTTGATATATGTACGTTTTTAAACTTAACCAAATCTAAAATTGTATAAGACAATAATGAACAAATTTGAGCCAGTGTAAAGAATGAGTACAACAACAGAATTCTTATTTAAAGGGACAGCATCAGATAAAACAGCAAATAAACATGTAAAATATGTAACATTTTAAAATGTGAAAAAAATTTACTACATGTTTTTTTTCCAAAGTTTATGAGCCATATTATACAACACATTTGGTACTGTATCACTTTTCAAATAAAATGTTATTTTACAATATCCTTGCTTTTTTACTAGCTTTTATCTATCTGTTACATTTTTAAAATTCTTGTAATTTACATCAACAAAAACAAATTTTACATCCAACAGGTGGCTTGTAGTTACAGATAATTTTTTTTAGCCGGGTTGGTTTGGTAAGGTGGCAGTAACCGAGCCAATGCTGAATTCAAATATCCACTAAGGATAGTCAATTTAACTTCATGGATGCTGTAGTGAGTAGCAAATGTTATATAAGTTTCCCTTTGAACAGTTATCATATTTATAAATTAACCGACTTACAACAAAGGCGTAACTAGTTCATATTATTTAACTGACTATCCAGCTGCACATTAAAACACAGACCTAGAATGAGAAGGATACGTTGTACCCTTTATATTTCCCTCGGTGCGTGAATGGCCTATATGAGTAGCTACCAGTAAACACAGGTGCACCTGAGCTCCCATTACATGTGGAGGCTGTATATTTTGTGGTTCTGCGAGGTCTGTCTTCATCTTCCTCCTCCAAAGCAACAAGATCTCCAACACTTACGACCTTTGACCCTCCGTGTGGGTGTGATATAACAATGGCATATTTTTTCCAGTTTACCTTGATCTGGTTAGGGATCTTTGACAACAAATTTGTTTTGCTGGCGCCCCGCACCATATCAAATAGTTCTAGGTCGTGGTAGATTATTTTTAAACCTACAAGATCTTTGTTTTCCTCACATTCCCTTAATTTCAGGCCGTAAGCTCTGACAGGTTTTGTTCCAAGTGTATTTGCAGGTTTCTCAGCTGTGTTTAATATTTTCGAATCAGGCGCGGAACTGCAGTTTTCGCTAGACAAAGAAGCAGTTAAGTTCTCTGTTGATACATGCTCAGACACAGGACTACAGCTGGAATCTTCCACGCCAATAAAACAACCAGAGTTATAAAAAAACGTCACTTCACACGTGGCTGCCTCCACATCATCCCTCACAACAGAGTGATTAGTATAAACAAGCAGCCCGCCATATCCTTTGTGCGGATACCTAATCCGGCATTGTTTAGCCGGGCAAACATCAAAGACTTCAATGTTGTCCTGACAGGTCCACACAAAACCTGTCCCAGAAATCCCATTTTTCCTCTGGACATACAGATGAACAACAAGCTTCTCTTGCTGCCGAATGTATTGTGTCAAAGAGCTGTGCCGGATGGGCCCAGGCAAATCCGCGTCAGTAAACTCATTGACAGGGATGAAATTGGGCTTTGAGCTGGGTCCATTCTCTTCTTCTATTCTCATACAATTGCATTTTTCGAAACCACTTTCATTGTTTTCCTTAAAAAATATCTAAACCAAAAAAAGTAGGTTATGAAAGTCACTTAAACGTATTTTTTCTGATGATGGGTACATCATAAAGTTGTGATTAACAAAATTAAGAAGATCAAAAAAATGTAACATTCAGATTTTTTGTGAGATAATTTTAAAAAATCATTAAACAAAAGCTAATTTTTGTAAAATTATGATTGTGAAGATAGTTGAAACATCGTGATTGATATTTAGGGTATGGGGTGTCTGGTTTTTTTGACAGTGTAAAATAGAAATGCAAAACACATATTGGTAAAGTGTTAATATACAAGGGAAACCCCTCATAAAAAACCTATCATTTTATTTTTAATTTAGACTATGATCTGTATAATTTTGAAATATGCAAATAAAGAAGGACATCGACTTACAATGTGAAAGAACTATTTAAGTATATATAAAAGAATGTAAATCAATGTATTATAAAACAATTTGGTACACCTCTAGTATGGAACAATTAGAGAAATACCTCGCAAGATACTGCTGGAAAAACACAGTCACGTTGTTTTCTTGTGAATTTTCTTGGCAACTGTAATCTTTATATATAATTCTCTACGTCGCCAACAATGTGGGATACCGCGCACGCATGTCAACTCTCTACTACCCCCTCTCTCTCCAGGCATGCTCAACAGTGTGTACCCACCCACCCTTTTTGGACAACTGTGTCTTTCAGGAAGTCTTCATCTATCACTAAATAGTGGTGTATGCTACGTCGCGGCTCAGTTCGTTATTCATATTAGGCTAATATACATATTTCTAAAGTAATCACTTTGCGCTGAAAATTCAGTAAAATGTCTGTGGTTTATTATAAATGTCTATCTATAGCTACACTATAGTGGATAGATCCAGTACACTAATACACAATGAATCATATAAAATAAATGGAATGAGTGTCAATACAAGTAGGGCCAAATATTTGCTATATTTATAAGGACTATTTAACTATTACAAACCTTACTGTCTTACACAAGAAAAACTTACCTTCTTCATCCTTTAATAATTTTCTTTTTGCTTGTTTAGGTTGAACAAAACCTAAAATAAAATAAAAAAGTTGCTTTATTAAATAATTCAACTTCGTTTTATTTTAAGAATAAAATGAATTTGACCTAGATATTAGATCTTGGTAGGCTAGTAGGAGAAGTAGAGTGTTACTTGACCTACTTTTCAAAATTATAGCCTTTGAATGATTTCAGCTAAAAGAGACCAATCCTAGCTTTAATTTATTTAGATTGTTCCATGATCAGTCAAACCTTATAGGCCTATAATACTTTAATTTGTTTCATATTGAAAATTCAAAATAATCCACATTATTATAATTCTCTTCATGGGGGCCATGCGAGACACCACCATGTAAATGCCGTGCCGTTACTCTCCGCTCTCTAGGCATATAGCTACCATCGCCACCAATCTGGTGAGCTAAGGTTCACCTCGAACGTTTACAATCATAGAGCCGGCTATAAGGGGCAGATAATTTAGCTTTTAAACGATGTGAAACTAAGGGGAGGTTATAAAAAGTTCTGCTTAATCTTTTCATTGTCATCAGTAAGCTGTCATCACGGACAGCTGCTTTTACTGTGGCGAGGGGGGGGGGTGAATTGGATGGAAGGGAGGGTAGTGTCGAATTCACTAACTATGAAGTACTGAAAAGTAGGAAGTAAAACAACTAAATAGCGGCGTATGATACGCTGGGGGTCAGCTTGTCGATTACATTTTTATAAACTTGGGTGCTTATTTTTTATACGACAGCATTTTAAAAAGACTATTTTTGTTAATTGTTTTTAAAAAAATGATTTTTTAACACACTGACCAAACTCAGTAGTAGTATATTAGGTCCCTTTAGGGTCGTATGGGTGAGGCGGATGCGGATGCGGATGCGGAACAAAGGCTATATAGGAAAATACTCCCCGCCTGGGTGAGCCGGAGGGACAATGACATATAGCAAAATACTCACCCACCTGGGTAAGTGGGTGAGCAGCCTGCCGCAGCCTGGTGCAACGAGATATAGTAAAATACTCCCGGGGGGAGGTGGAGGTACATCGACATATAGCAAAATACTCACCCAACTGTGTGAGGGTGGGTGAGGGTGGGTGAGCCGCAAGTACAATGAGATATAGTAAAATACTCACCCACCCTAGGGTGGGGAATGCGGATGCGGAGTAGGTCAGTAGGTCACCACCGGTGACCTTGTGACGTAATCAGTGACCTAGTTACGTAATTTTAATGTGATTTTAATTAGTTGAATTGAATTTTTAAATTTTTAAATTAATTTTTATTAACGAGTTACGTAATTTGATTATTTGTTTGTATTTTGTTTGTTTATTTTTAATTAGTTTAATGTTTTAAATTTTAATTTTTAATTAGTTTAATTATTATTATTAACTAGTTACGTAATTTGATTTTAATTTTTTAAATTTTTAAATATTTAATTTAAAAATTTTTAAATTTTTAAATGTTTAATTATTTTAATTTATTATTAGTTTGAAATTCATTTTAATTAGTATGATTTTAATTACTTTGTTTAATTTATTTATTTGATATATTTCTTTTCTTTGTTGTATGATGTTTAAAATAAAAGACACTGTTTATTTGATTGTATGTATGTTTAATAGTAAGCGGAGAGGGGTGGTGGTGGTTGAGAGGGATGGTCGGGGAGGAGAGGGGAGTAATGACGGGGGTTGAGTGTTTATTTGTTGGTTTGTTTATTTGATTGTATGTATGTATGTTTAATAGTAAACGGAGAGGGGGTGGTGGTGGTTGAGAGGGATGGTCGGGGAGGAGAGGGGAGTAATAACGGAGGTTGAGGGTAGGGGTGTGCTAGCGTGTACTAGAACATTCTTTGTATAACATCCATTTATCCGCGGCTAATCGTTATCAACACCTGTTACTTATCGATCCGCGATCCTTTGTTTTTGTCAAGCACCGTACAAGGGGCGAGTTAATATTGATCTCAGCCACGGACCCATCATCAACATAATAGCCCGCCTAATTAAATTTTGTCACGCATCATGGATTTATGTCGAGTTCGCGGAAGCGATCACCGCAGGGGTCCGGTGTTTAATTGAAAGAGCTAAGTGGTTAACCGCAAAGCTACCGTTAAGTGTAGCGACAGCTGTTACCACTTTAATGGGTTTTTTCCCGCTCGGTTTGACAGCTCATGATGATTAATGCGAGCCATTAAGTCCCTCTCCACGTTAAGTGTGGCGACAGCTGGTCCCGTGCTTTCCACTAACATTTATACGCGCAGTATCATAGGTTTTTTTGATCGAGTAAAGAAATAGTATTGATCGACCCGTGTCGAGGCCGTGTATTCATTAACCAGCTGTGCAACAGCTGTTGCGCGACCACTATAATAATAATTTAAACTAATTAAAAATTAAAATTTAAAACATTAAACTAATTAAAAATAAACAAACAAAATACAAACAAATAATTAAATTACGTAACTCATTAATAAAAATTAATTTAAAAATTTAAAAATTAAATTCAACTAATTAAAATCTCATTAAAATTACGTAACTAGGTCACTGATTACGTCACAAGGTCACCGGTGGTGACCTACTGACCTACTCCGCATCCGCATTCCCCACCCTAGGGTGGGTGAGTATTTTACTATATCTCATTGTACCTGCGGCTCACCCACCCTCACCCACCCTTCACCCAGGTGGGTGAGTATTTTCCTATATGTCATTGTACCTGCGGCTCACCCACCCTCACCCACCCTCACACAGTTGGGTGAGTATTTTGCTATATGTCGATGTACCTCCACCTCCCCCAGGGAGTATTTTACTATATCTCGTTGTACCAGGCTGCGGCAGGCTGCTCACCCACTTACCCAGGTGGGTGAGTATTTTGCTATATGTCATTGTCCCTCCGGCTCACCCAGGCGGGGAGTATTTTTCTATATAGCCTTTGTTCCGCATCCGCATCCGCCTCACCCATACGACCCAAAAGGGACCTAATATACTACTCTCAGTGAATATTTGTTTTAAAATTAGTGTTTGAAAATAACAAACTGAAATTTTGAGGTGAGTTGTAGGCTGAGGTTTTAAGTGGGTAATCTATAAGTTTAGCGTAATCAATTCGGCTGCAGTAGTAATGTGAGGGAGAGGTAACTGTAGTACTACACTACTAGATCTAGATCTAGTAGTAGTCTAGTACTAGACTAGTCTAGTTTTTACCGAATTTACGACGCTAAACTTAAGGTTTTACCCTAAATTAGGGCCCTAGATTTCTAGATCTAGAGTCTAGACAGATTTAGCATAGTACTTAGCACTAGGCTAGTAAATTTAACCTGTTTTAATAAATTTCAAATTTAAGGCCTAGATATATTAAATTTAAATCATGGTTTTACTTCTTTGTATACAAAATATAGAGAAAGTATTGTAATCGTGCAAAAAAAGATCTAGACGATTTACACCTCTCTGAGTCGGAAAAACATAGTTTTGCAATCTTGTCCGTATGGCTGTGTGTGTGTGTGTATATGTATGTGCGTGTCAGTAAACATGATAAATTGAGTACTGTTAATGCTCTGTTGATGAACTTTCATATATAAGTATTATATCAAACTTCTCAGTTTTTGGGCGATTTCCAATAACAGGAATTGGAATTTTTTCTACTTACGTTCAATTTTTCAAAAGCCTATAACTTGAGTACTATTTCCGATAGATAACTGAGATATCACATATAAGTTAAAGATTCAATTCTCTGCCATCTGTCAAATTATATTTCCGTTTAACGGAAGTAGTAATTTACGCTATTTCCGATTTTTTTGTAAATTGTTTACATTACATTTACTGATTTGAAATGTACCTGATTTATGTACTTTTAGTAAGTTTTTATAAACTTGTTAAAGATGTGGAAGTTGTAATAGCAAACAAAGACCATAAAACCAATATGATTTTTTACGAATCCCATTATTGGTTGTAGAATATATCACATTTTTTTCAGTTTATCATTTTGAAGTAATAATAAATAAGGTATAGAAAATTTGACATCGGTATGAGTAAATTAAAAATATGCTTATATCAGACAATAATAGTTAATATAGGTTAGAGTTTTAAAGAAGAACAGAAGATAATTATTTCTATAATTTAAATATGAAATGTTGATCATTTTGAGGTAATAATAAATAAAGTATAGAAAATTTGACATCGGTATGATTAAATTAAAAATATGCCTATATCAGACAATAATAGTTAATATATGTTAGAGTTTTAAAGAAGAACAGAAGATAAGTATTTATATAATTTAAATATGAAATGTTGATACGTTTTTCTTGGTGTAGCTTTTCACATGAATCCTTTCTATCACATAATTCTTTTTTGAGATTGTCAAGCTCAGTTTGTAGCACCTCTGGATAAAAAAATTAAGATGGGTAAATTGAAAATTAAATATGAAATCTGAGATTAGAATATTTTTTTATGTTTCATTTTTAAGCTGAGAAAAATTCACCAATTAAATATGTTTTGATTAAATCAGTTCATTTTGTTTCAAGAATGTGGATAATTTTAATATGTAGCCTGCATTGTAAGTTCTAAGCACAAACAAAGACAATAAAAACAATATGAATTTCCATTGATTTTTATTTGTAGTAGAATGTAACATACATTCTTCAGTTTAACACAATAAAGTAGTGATAAAAAAGGTCTAAAAATGTGTCACCAGTATGATTAAATTTCTAAAAAAGTCTACAGCAGAAAAAGTATAGTTCATATATGTGAGAGTTTGAAGGAGGAACATAAAATTAATGTTTATCTATCTGTCCATCTATATACTACTAAAAGTCAAGTTTGTTTACATGTTTGAATATTTGTTTTTTTGTTTGTTTGTTTGTTTGCCTGATTGACTATCTCGCATGGTTGCACTCATCGTGGAAAGCTGTAAAATAGTATGTAGGTAGAGAAAATTTTTTGTTTTAAGACAGACTGTTAATCACACATTTATTTAAAGACGTTAATTAATTTATTGATTTATTCATACGCAGAGTAACCCATTTTTTTAAAAAAGTTTAGAACGACCACTACACTCGGCGGGACCGTGACGTCACAGTTTTTTGTTTACTCTTTAGTACAATAAAATGGCGGCGTCTATCGAAGAAAATTGTGTTCCCATTCAAACGTTTAACGCGTTCTAAATCTAATTTTCTGTCGGTCATAACTTTAACAATACGTCCGTTTGCTGTATTTATTACCTTCCAACACTTATATCAATTTTAAACTGTCTTTTTTCATTTAGTTTTACAATAAATTTCTCTAGATCTAAAGATCAGCTGTCGAAGGAAAGTTATGAATCTAGCCTAGATCTAGCCTAGATCTAGGTCACTAGACTCAATGTAAATTCTAGATCTAGAATCTATTTCAGGCCTTAATACATCTAGAATCTATTTCAGGCCTTAATTATTTTATATAAATCTTTGTTTGGCTAATTTTAGATAAAATTTAATTTGAAAGTTACTAGATTCTACTACTAGACTTAGATCTAAATCTATGCGCGGAGACTCAAAAGTATAGTATAAAAATTCATTTGTGACGTCACGAGTAAATAGCTAAGTTTGTAGCGTAGTCCGCTCTCATGCGGGTGGTACAGGTTCTAGACCAATATGTCAATGATATTTTTTTTCAATTTTTTTTTTTAGATGTGAATGATAAAGTTGCCTATCTGAACTTGGCAGGATACAGGGCAGGTGAAGTAGAGTTCATCTGTTTCTTTGTCCTAAGCATATGAAAGGATAGTGTGGTCAGAGACATGCTCGGCTGGAATCGTTTTTTAAACGATAAAAACATGTTGTCTGAGACTTGGCGGGACACTGGGCAGGTGAAGTAGAGTTGAGTAGGTCACATGTGACGTCAGTATATGAAGGGATAGTCCGAAATCGGTGTTTTCGGTGTTTTTAAAAGATAAGAAACATATTTTTGAATGTGGGGTCTGTTTTTGTGACGATAAGTGACACTGCAGTAGCGTAGCGAGGAGGGGGGGGGGGGGGGCGGGGAGGCGGGGGGAGGTGGAGGGGGGGCGGGGGGACATATGTTGGGGCGCCAAAATGGTTTGGAAAAATAAATTGAAAGGTTGAGTGGGGTGGGGGTGCACATCAAAAGTTTAAGGGGGGGGGGGGTTGAAAATCGAAATCTTAGGGGGGGGGGGGGTTAAAATCGAAAAGTTTGTCCCCGGGCGCCGGGAAGGCTCGCTATGCCTCTGAGTGACAGACGTGATGTTTTTTGATAGATGACCCCCGAAACCCACAGTTATGCAACGGATGACGGGTATTCTAGTATACTACTAAAACTCAAGTTTGTTTACATGTTTGAATATTTAATTTTTTTTTTGTTGGTCTGATTGACTATTGTAAATGGTTCTACTCTATGTGGAGAGCTGTAAAATAGTATGTAGGTAGAGAAGAATTTTTGTTTTCAGACAGACTGTTAATCACAAATTTATTTAAAGACATTAATTAATTTATTGATTTATTCATAGGTACATTAACCACATTAATTTTAAAAGTTTAAAACATTGACTTAACTCGACTGAATAGTGACGTCACAATTTTTTGTTTACTTTTTAGTACAATAAAATGGCGGCGTCTATCGAAGAAGATTGTGTTCCCATTCAAAAGTTTAACGCGTTCTAAAGCTAATTTTCTGTTGGCCATAACTTTAACAATACGCCCGTTTGCTGTTTTTTATTACGTTCCAACACTTACATTAATTTTCAACTGTCATTTTCATTTAGTTTTACAATAAATTTCTCTAGCTCTACAATCTGTCCAAGAAAGTTATTTATAGATCTAAAAATATCATGTGGCCAAGCAAGTTATAGATCTAGATCTAGTATCTAGGTCAAATCAAAGATTAATTAGATACATACCAAAGATTAATTAGATACATACCAAAGATTAATTAGATAAAATACAATCCATTTTATAATCATAATACATTTTTTAGTCCTTAAATACTTGATATAAATCTTTGTGATTTATCTATCTAGATCTAGATCTATCTAGCCAGAATAGGTCTAATTATTAGATCTAGATTCTAGATCTAGATTTTCTAGATCTAGATCTAGCAAGAGTTACGCAAATACTAGACTTAAGACTTAAGCAAACGAGTCGTAGAATCTAGATCTAGAAAATTCTATCTAGATCTTGATAATTTCAGACCTTCATTATTTTATATAAATCTTTGTTTGGCTAATTTAAGATAAAATTTAATTTGAAAGTTACTAGATCTACTACTAGACTTAACTAGACTTAGATCTAGATCTATGCGCGTAAATCAAGTTGCATAAGGAGACTCAAAGTATTAAAGTATAGTATAAAAATACATCTGTGACGTCACGAGTTAAATAGCTAAGTTGATAGTGTAATCGGCTTGCATGCGGGTGGCACGGATCTAGACCAATACGTCAATGATAATTATTTTTCAATTTTTATTTTAATTTTTAGATGTGAATGATAAAGTTGCCTATCTGAACTTGGCGGGATACAGGGCAGATGAAGGAGAGTTCATCTGTTTCTTTGTCCTAAGCATATGAAGGGATAGTGTTGTCAGAGACATGCTCGGCTGGAATCGTTTTTTTAAACGATAAAAACATGTTGTCTGAGACTTGGCGGACACTGGGCAGGTGAAGTAGAGTTGGGTAGGTCATCTGTGACGTCAGTCTATAAAGGGATAGTCCGAAATCGATGTTTTCGTTGTTTTTAAAAGATAAAAAACATCTAAGTGACACTGCAGTAGCGTAGCGAAAGGGTGGGGGGGGTGATATATGTCCCCGGGCCCCGACCTTAGGGGCGCCAAAATGGGTTGGAAAAATAAATTGAAATGTTGAAGGGGTGCAAATCGAAAGTTTGAAGGGTGGCTGCAAATCGAAATCTTGAGGGGGGGGGGGGAGGGTGCACATCGAAAGTTTGAAGGGGGGAGGGTGTGCAAATCGAAATCTTGCGGGGGAGGGGCGTGCAAATCGAAAATTTTGTCCCCGGGCACCGGGAAGGGTCGCTACGCCTCTGAGTGACAGACGTGGGGAAGGGTTCTGTAAAATATCATTTTTAATTTCGCAAGGGCGGTGCCAAGGGAGGGTGCGATGTTTCTCTATATACGGCATTTAAACATAGTAAAAGTGAATAACGGTGGCACCGTTCACACGATCGGCATAAAACGCTAGGAAGATGTTGAGAATATTCCTGGGGAGGTTTCTGCGCTAAAATCATTTTCAAATTCGCAGGGGTGGCGCCCCGGAAGGGCGCGATTTGTTTTCTCTAAATATATGGTATATAAAAATAAAAGTCGATTGTGGTCTCACAACGTTTATTCGATAGCCATCAAACTTCAGAGACTTGATTAGAACAATCCAGGGAAGCGTTCTGTAAAAAAGTCATTTTTATTTTCGCAAGGGCGTCGCCACAGGAAGGTGCGATTTTCTTTATATACGGTATATACAATAAAAGTCGACTTTGGTTTGACACCGTTCATCCGATAGCCACGAGACTGTGGGGGAGTTGATTAGAAAACTACCTGGAAGGGTTCTGCAAAAAATATTTTTTTTAATTTCGCAAGGGCGGCGCCGCGGGAGTGTGCGATTTCTTTATATGTACGGTATATACAAATAAAAGACGATTGAGGTTTGACACAGTTTATCCGGGTGCCATAAAACTCTAAGGAGTTGAGGAATACTCCCGAGGTTTCTGTGTTGGGGGGGGGGGGGGGGGGGGAGGGGGATTTAGTGTTTCATGGGTGGCCCTTGGCTGCTATTATTCGCCCTGGTCTTTCCGGTGAGCGTAATGGCGACTACGTTCGGTCTAAACAGTGTGATAGACAATGGATAGGATGGGGCGTTACAAACGCTCACTAAATTGAATCAGGGGTGTCCTCCGGCGCCCTGGTAGTGTGCGATTTGGCTGCAAACAAAAATTTCAGTTTCGGCCCCCAAAGGCTCACATGGGCCGCTAAGTGCCATGCATTACGTTTATTTTAATAATCAGAAAAAAATTACCAAGGTTAGATTATTAACTGGGATGGATTTTTTTGTCCGTAAAAAATCCAAACAGTTTCGTCACTTTGCGAATGATGCAATTAGCATTTCTTTTCAGACAAGCCAATCAGAAATTGAGATCGAGCATCTAATAACAGACCATTAGTAACGCTAACGTATTGCATCAGTCACACTGATGTTTAAAACACGTCAAATAATTTTTTTACGTGTTAAAAAAAATCCTGTTCAGTTGTTTCATTTTAGCGAATGACGCAATCTGCATCATTGTTAACAGGATGCTATTTGGCATGATGGCGCCTGTTAGTTTTATGGAGCCAGGGGCCGTACGCGGTAGTGTAATCGGCGGGGGGGGGGGGGGGAGGGGGGTGTCT